GTCAGAGCACCGTCCCACCGGCTGGGGGGCTCTCCCTGCCCAGGAGGAGGCTCTGCCCCTCAGCCCCACAAGGCATTTAGCTGCCCCCAAGGCTGCTTCCCGGCTTTCGGGGTGGCTGTAGGAGCCACGGGCAGGTCCTGGTGGATGTTGCACGCTTAGCGGTGCCCCAAGCACGCAGAGCTGCTCCCTCCTCCCACCGGCTGTTTCACTGAGGGGAAACCACAGGAACTAAGTAACTTTTTGGTTTTATGCCTCATGCAGCCTCGTGGGGCCTCAGAGAGTTGGGGCTAAAAACCTGCACCTCCCTGGAGATGCTGTGCTAGCCCACGCCACGTTTATCCATCATCCAGAGGGGAAAAGAGTGAGGAAAGTCAGTCTTGGAGGGCCACAGGCTCTGTCCCCCGTGCCCTGGTCCCTGCTGCAGCCCAGGGAGAGCAGGGGAAGAGGCTCTCTCTGGAGAAGGAAGTGAAGAGCGATGACTTCCGCACCGCGCTTTTGCTGGGGAGGGAGGGCGTGTGGCTACGAGCCTCCCCAAACCCCTTTCCCCTGAGCTGCCCCGGCTCCTCGAGCGCTCTCCCCATGTCCACGCGGGTGCCAGCGGGGCCACTCCCGAGCCTGGTGCCCGCCGGGCAGCGCCTGAGCGCTGGTGGAGCTGCCCTCCGCTTCCTCCAGATGAAGATTTGGCTCTGAGCATCCTAGGATGGGCTTGGCTTAACTTTTTTTTCCCTTGCAGAGGCCATCCTGATTCTCCTTTCACTCTCGTCCAAAATTCCCCACCTCTCTATTTTTAGAAGACAAGGGGGAAAACCAGCCTGCGCGGCTCAGAGGCTGGAGCTACAAGGCAGGCACAGAGAAGCCTGAAGCAGGCGAGCACAGCCTGAGCCCAGCACAGCCGCAGTGAGGGACATCCCACCCACCTGCCCGTCCCCTCCAGCACTACCGTTGCCCCTCATGCGACTCCACCAGAGCCACTTGCTGCCTCGGCTCAGCACAGCAGCTCGTGTGGGGCCAACAAGATAAATTACAATTAAGCCCCCTTGCTCCCAGCCTTGTGCTGAGTGAGGAAAGCAAAGGGGAGCGCAGCCAGCTGCCACCAGCAAGGGCCACATCAGGAGAGCAGGGAGGAAAGCGTCAGTCCTTGTGCCAGGCAGCCACAAAAACACCAAGAGCTGTTGGTGTTGGAGATGCTCCAAAGGATGACATTAATTTTGGCTTATAGGTGCCAGCGACGATGGAGAAGGGAAGGGGAGCAGAGATGCCCTGCTCTCATGCCAATGGGTAGCCCTCGTGTCTGTTTTCTGACTCTCCCCTCCAGCTCCCTCGCAGGACATGCGATACACAATTTTATTTGCCACCAAAGAAGCCTTATTTGTTATAAGCTGACATGGGATGCTCCTGAGCAGCAGCTACCCAGGAGCATTTCTTATTAACAGCCAGCAAAAAGCCTCATGTGAATTCAGCTTCACTTCTGGGTATATCTGGGTAAAGCAATACATTTCTCAGTTCCTATTTCCTTTCTCAGGAACATCATTTCATGACAGGTGAGCATAGGAAATACTGCTTAAAAGTAATTTTCATCCCTCTGGAAGGACTAAAAGGTGTTGGCATAGGGGACAAGCAGACCATCACCTCCAGCTGACCACTCAGAGTGTCAGCGTTTTGTTTCGATCAGTTTGCTGTCTCCTTTAGGGGGAGCTTGAGGCTGGTGTATCAATCCTGGAGAAGCTGAGCACTCCAGAGTCCACAGGTTTCTGGGCACTAGATACAGACAGGTGACTCGCAGCACTTACCTCCAGCCCAGAAGAGGCAGGCGCAGGTCTCTGCATCTTCTGCTAATGAAGCATCCTCAGCCATCCTGTCTTTGGGCCCCCCGTGAGGTGTGAGCTCTGGAGCTGCCTCCAGCTGCCCACCCTGGATGTTATTGCTGCTACTTGACTTCTGCACCTCCAGGTCCTCCCAAATCTCATAACTCTCTTGCTTAGCCTCCGGACTTCAGCTTGCCAGCCGATATCAAGGCTTAGCACAGAGCTGCAGGGCATGAGCCATCCCACTGGGGCTCACGTGCCGACGACACAAGCTGCTCCGTGGGAGCAGCATCCCTCCGTGAAGGAGCTGGTGCAAGCCATGCTGCTCCTCCCTGGAGCGGCAGGACTGCCACACACGCCAGAGGACCATGGTTCATGTGCAGCTGAGGAATCAGTTAACTCTTTTAAAGAAGTCGAGTTTCCTGTGAGCCATTTTACCTCTCATACCACGGCACAACTTCCCTCTCTGAGCAGCATCTGTGCCAGTTTTCACGCACTGGGGGTAACCTGCCCTGTTCCTCTTGACCAAGCTGCTTATAAGGAGTTTCAGTCCTTTTTGCAAAGGTTATTTTCAGCTGCTACATAGCAAGGAAATGGGCTTCACTCCACCTGCTGCTGCTTTCCCTTGGGATTGCTGAATGGACACCATCTGGGTGGGACTCAGGCAGGTTGTCCAAGCTCCTCGCTTTCCTGTGTCCCCACTGCTGTTTGACCCCCATCCTGGTCACAGAGCAGCCCCCTAAATGCTGAGATGTCACAGCCGTGTCCATGCAGAAGGGTTGAAAGGGACTGTCTGCACACGATCGAAGCTTTAGGAGCTGACACACGGCTCCATTCCCCACTGATGCTGGGTGGGATGCCAGCGTGAATCCACCTCTGCACAGACCCACCACCCCCATCCCCTTCTCCTCCCCAGTGCTGAGGAGGCTGCTTGGGTGGTTCTTGGCCATTGTCAGCCTGGGGAAATCATGCCTGGGTTTGTTAAATGCACACAAAACCGGAGGCAGACACTAACAGCACACAAAAACAAACTGCTCTTTTTCCTGGCAAACATGAGCACATTTCCCTTCTCGCCGTACTCTCCAGCCTGGCCTCCCAGCCAAGCGGACCCTCCCTTCCGCCCCATCCACCAGCAATCACCCTCCACCTCCTTCCCCGGCCTCCTTCTCCTCTTCCTCCTGGCTTTATCTCACATTTCTGGGAATGATCCGACCCCGGGCATCTTGAGGATGCTCTCTGATGCTTTCCAGTGGCAGCAGGGCCACAGCTCAGGGAGGGGATCCTACAGCCGAGCCCCCAGTGCCGGGAGAGGCTCCCTGCAGCAGGCGATGCCAGCGTGCCAGGCTGAGCCCTCTGCGTGCCTTCCTCCCAAGACCGGCTGCGGTGGCTCTCCATCTCCAGGCATCCCGTCTGGGCTAGGTGAACCCAGCCGATGGGTTAAATCCTTGTTTCTCTGCTTTCCCGGCAGGCTGGTCTGGATGGAGAAAACATCGGAAACTGTCCCTTCTGCCAGCGCCTCTTCATGGTGCTGTGGCTCAAAGGGGTCAAGTTCAACGTCACCACGGTGGACATGACCAGGTGAGACGGCACTACAGCTCAGCCCTCTGCCAGCAGTGGGGCGAGACACCCCTGGCTCAGCTCCCCCCATCAGCACTTTCCTCCCTCCTGCCCGCACCGCGACCAGCATGCCACCGCGGGAGGGACGGGGGTGACAGTCCCTGCCTGCGCGCTGCCCATCACGCTGCGGGGTGCAGGGGGTGGGCCAGCGTGGAGCTCCATCTGCGTGCCCACACGTGCCGGGCACAGGGACCCCCTGTCCTGCTGGATGTGGGTACGAGTCTGGGGCACCACAGGGCAGACTGAGAGGCTGGGGGGCACTTTTCAGCCCCGCAAAAGCAGAGCGTGCAAGTGGGGATGCTCCCAGTCCTGTGCCCCCTCCTACACACCCACCTCAGCCTTGTCACTTTGCCCTGGGGAGGCTGGTGTGTGCAGACAGGCTGCAGGCTCTGAGCCCACTTATTTTCTCCATTCCAGGAAACCTGAAGAGTTGAAGGATTTAGCGCCGGGCACCAACCCACCCTTTTTGCTGTTCAACAAGGAGCTGAAAACAGACTTCATTAAGATTGAGGAGTTCCTGGAGCAGACCCTGGGCCCACCCACGTAATTGCAAGCTTGCTCCTTCCCCCTTTCGGGGCCTGGCAGGCATGCCGCAGCATTGCATAGTGCTCGGCAGATTGGGAAACCAAGGCAGGGTGCTAGGAGGTGCCTGAGAGCAGCTTGGGGAGGGGGCTGGCTCCCCACCCAGCACCCTGAGTTGTGCTCTGCAGGGCCAGGGCTTGCGATGCCGAGGGGCTGCGTCCCCTGGGGAAGGCGGCAGGCAGGGCTGCCAAGGGGACTGGGACGGGCTGGGATAGAAAACAAAGGGAGGAAATGCACTGGTCCCTTGGCGTAGGCAGGGCTGGGGGGGAGAGGGAGAGGTCCCTGCAGGCGCGGGGACCCCCTGGGAGCTGTGGTTTTGCAGCTGGCTGTGGCCGTTGGTGTCGAGGCAGAGGGGGAACATGAGACCCCCTTTGCCCGCTCGTATCCATTCAAGCAAATGCCCTCGCTTGAATGCAGCAGTGCAGCTGGCCCGAAGGGCTGCCAGGGGCGGGGAGCGATCCCCCCTGAGCTCATGCAGGGCACTGCCCGCAGCCCGCCAAGCCAGCCCGCCCCATGCACTGCGTGGCTGCAAGCCCTGCTGCCACGTGCAAAAGAGGAAGCTTCAAATGCATTTGTCATCTGCCTCCTCAGACGTGTCTGCCCTTGCAGCACACCCTGGGACACATCAGCAAACAAGAGACTGTTCCGTGGGGGCTTCTGGCTTCCCCAGGCCCCTCCTGTGCCAACATGCATCCTCCGGGCTGGGCCAGAGCTGCCTGCAGGCAGAGCTCTGCTCCAGGGCTCTGCTGTCACCCGCATCGCCTAACCACGGAGTTTCTGCTCTGTGATTTTCCCCTAGCAAACACCCAAGATAATACAGCTCCCAGGGTGGCAGCTGCAGTAATTTAAAGCACCGCTGTTCTCCCACAACCAGCTGAACATCACCTGCATCCTCCAGTACCAGCCCTGGGCACCATGGCCTGGGAGATAACGCAGCTGAGGACCATGCAGCTCAGTCTCTGCCTCCACCCTTGTCCGCACTGACACGAGTGTCTCTTTAAAGGTATCCACACCTGAGCCCCAAGTACAAGGAGTCCTTCGATGTGGGGAGCGACATCTTTGCCAAGTTCTCCGCATACATCAAGAACCCGCGCAAGGAAGCAAATATCAGTAAGAGACGCGGGTGGGGGCTGCGGGGTGGTGATTTGCCACGCTGTGGCGGGGAGAGCTGCTTTTGTCTGCGGACAAATCCTGCCATGGGGTTAGGGTTCCTGCTGCCTTCCCCACCAAAGCCTCCTTGGCAAGCCGGGGAGCGGGCAGGGAGGGCGAAGGCAGTCCTCCTTATGGCCCCGCGTGCAGGCACTGGGGAGAGCAGGTCCTGGAGGGCAGCGTGGGGTGATGCTGCTGGGAGCCCCTGGGAGCAGAGACTCTGGCCAGCGGCCAGCGCTGTGCACCACCGGTGTGGCCCTGAGGGTTTTGTCCCTGCGTGCAAAGCCTGAGCGAGGCTCAGCCACCCTGGCACAGCCCTGGGCTGCGCTGGGAGCCCAGGGCACCAGGCTCACTGCACTTGTTTCCCTGCCCACCCAGATTTCGAGAAGGCCCTGCTGCGGGAGTTTCAGCGGCTGGATGTCTACCTAAACACTCCTCTCCCTGAGGAGATTGACCAGGACAGCGTGGAGGACATCACCGTCTCCAAGAGGAAATTCCTGGACGGAGACCACCTGACTCTGGCTGATTGCAACCTCCTGCCCAAACTGCATATCATCAAGGTAATGGCACCAGCTCCCAGCGCCGAGCTGGGG